CCTCAGCTGGGCAGTAATTGCTTGGGGCATCCTATGCGGTTGTGTTAGATGCTGGCCACGGACGTCTTCGCAGCCCCTGTGGGTGACGCTGGCTGTGAGCTACTCCCCAGGACTCTCCAGCAAGGGGCTCAGGGTAGTCAGACATCTTCCATGAGCTCCCTGGAGCTCAAGGCCCCAAGTGTGCTTGTTCTATCAAACCAGGAAGAGGCTGTTTCCCTGCCGTGACCTAAGCTAGCAGCCACACAGCCCATTCTGCTGCCAGCGTCCTACAGGTGGCTCCTCAGGGAAGGCCCTCAGTGAGGGGTGAGGCCTGATCGCCACTCACCTACTCTTGATCCTGAAAGGTTTTGCCCTTTTCCTAAATAGAAACCTTGAAAAGTAAGCAAATAGTATTTCCAAAGGAGGCTTTTGACAGACTTGCCACATTGCCCATGCAGGGAAGGCTGCCTGTCTCCAGCCATCTTCCTCTTCTTACAGCTATGCTGAGGCATTTGGCTTGGTCCAGGGCTGCTGCACTGAGGGTCCATCCCACCTTCTGCAGTGACAACTAGACCACACTCCAGTAAGTGTGCACACTGCTTTTATTCTATAAAGAATGAGGCTTGCCCTCCCTTCCCCTCTCCTGCTTCCTGGTGGCTAGAACCAGGGCAGCATTTGCTGTGAGGTAGGAGCCATGTGTTCAAGATAGCGGAACAACAAAAGTGAAGACAAAAGAGAAGTTTGGATCGCTGGCCATCTGCCCTTGTCAATCAGCACTTCTGGGGCTGTGTGTGGCCTTTAGGAATTTCAGTTTTCATGTGTGACCCTGAGAAGGTTCAGCCTCCTGGCCCAGTGGGACAGGTTTCTCAACCCACTAGCGTTAGGGACTTGCAGGTTTGATTCTGCCCCTCTCCAGGTCAGGGTTCCTAATGCACTCCCCCAAAGCCCCTCATCACCCTGCCCTCTCAAATCCCTTGTCGCTGTCACAAATTTAGTCTTCCAGGCGCCGTGTATAGAGTGGTCCCTGTAGTTGCCCATACAATCACTCCCTTCTTCCTTAGTAACAGGAATCTTATTAGATTCAGCTTTAAAAATACTTTTTCCAGAATCTTTTGCTGACAGGTGTGCCTGTGTGATCCAGTTCTACCCAGGGCGCTGTGACCCCACGCAACCTGTGGGCTTTCAGGAGAGGAGTAGGCAGCTGCCATCCACCCTTTACTTTCTTCCTTCCTCCTTCCTACCTAAAATGTGTGCTGGCTGGAGCTCCCACAGCCAAGAAATGACACCTAGCATGGAAGCCTCGTGCTTAGAGTGAGACTGAGATCTAAGAAGGAATCTGGGCCCTGATGGTGGGGGAACCACCACGCCAGCCCTGCACCATTGACCTCTCATTCCATCAGGCACTGGGATCCAGGCTTCCTGCTCTCTGTGGCTGAATCCATTCTGACACACTGTCTTAAAGTTCTGGTATAAAGACCCAGGCTTCAAGTTAGCCAAGGGAGGCAGCGGGGGAAAGTAACAGCCTTGGCACTGCCCAGCCTCCGATCAACTCCCCTGCTCTGCTCGCTCCAGACACAATGCAAAGGGGGATTAAGGTGTCAGGAGAGCCAAGGTGAACAGCAGGAAAAGAAAAGCAGCGGAGACAAGAGATTTCCACCAGACTTTGCTCACAGTGCAGCCACACTGATGAACCCCACAGCCACCCCAGAAGGTTGTGTTACCCCACCTCACAGGAAGAGGCTCTGTCAGGAAGAACAGCTGGACCCAAGTCAGACATACAGGTCATGGGCCCAGACCAAGTTCGGCCCAGGACCACCCCACTCTATGACATTGGCCACCATGCTGGTCTCCAGCAGATATGGCCCTGGCATTTACTTCCTGGTGTAAACTCCCTGTGACTTGCCAGAGGCCAGAATGTGGCTGGGTGGGAGAACAGATGGAGGTTGAAAGATCGCTGGTGGCAAAACACTGACCTCTACAAAGGTCCCATCAGGGAGCCTGAAATCCCATCTTTGTTAAAAGATATTTCAGAAAGAGGGCAAGCTTATGTTATATAAATTCATATGTTAAAGTTATATAAGCTAGACAAATATTTACATAACTCAATGGGTTTAGTGATAAACGTTTTATCTATTTATGCATATTATGTATAGATGTGAGGAATACGTCTGGTAGGCTATGCCACCCATGCATAAACACACATGAGGGAGCGTGAGCAGTATGTTTTGATTGTCTAAAATGAACATGTAATACAAAAAAACCGTAGCTGGTATTTTTAAAGGGGTGCTCTGTATTTAACCCTCTAAATGCCCTCTACCTCCCACCTTCCCAGCCTTCCCTGAGGGCTTTGTCTCAGTTTCCCTTGCCCCTCAGCCTTGGCAGGGTTCTGATGCAGGGCCCAGTGAAGGCTCAGGAGGGCCTGGCCAGAGACTACACCAGACATTTGTCTACACTGGGGGTGACTCAATCCACAAATGAGATCCCACCAGTGACCCAGATAAGAGGATTTCAAAGGCCAAGAGGCTTCAGGAGGGAAGGCTGCCGGGAAAGCAGTCCTTCCTGGAGACAGAGCAAGCAGGAACTCACATTGAGAGCAGGAGTGGCAGGAGGTAGTCACAGTTGGAGGCAGAAGCAGGAATGCAGCAGTAGCAGCCAGGCGCAAGGCAACTCTGTAAACCTCCAAACTCGAGGCTGGCTGAACTCTACAGCATTGAATAACATGGGGCTTTTCCACCTGGGATTTCCATTTGCTCTGGTAGCCACAGGAGCTTCGGGGTCCAGAGGCAGTAGCTATGCACACATGCACACCACCTGAGCAAGCCTTGACAGGTGAATACCAGGAGACCCCTGAGGAGCCTGAGAACTCAGTCTCTGTCTTGTAAGGGTGTCCTCTGGCCCCAAGGGCCCCAAGCTCTACTCCTCCCACATCTCTCCTGGACCTCCCCGTCACCCAGCGCCCCCCCTCACCACCCTCACAGACCGCTGAAGCCTGGCCTGAGAATCCAAGTGCAGCTGGGAAGAGGCCTAGAGGAGGCCTGTAAGGGCTAGGATGGAACAATCCAGCATCGCATGGTGGCTGACAGCATGGAGTCCATTCCAATCTGGCTCTGCCCCAACCATCTGTATGCTAATAATCTGGGTATTACCACAGGTTAACCTCTATGTGCCTGCTTCCTCACTGGTAAAACGGAAGCAAAACAGTACTCACCACCTGGGCTTGCTCTGAGGATTAAAGAAGTTCGTATTCATCATGGAGCACTCAGAAGAGCAGACTTGGTTAGCTGCATAAGTGCTAAGGACATGGAGGCTGGCAGCCAAACTCCTCCTGGCTTCACTGGGAAGGGCACAATGCAGCTATCTCCTGGCCTATTCCTCATCTGCAAATCACAGATAATGACCATCTCCCCTTATTTAACAAAAAAGTAAGGGTAAATAATCCATCTAAGCAACAGGGGAAAGCAAAACCCACTCCACACAAATCTCAAAGGTTAAAATAAAGTGAATGCCTGACACTGGTTTCTGAGCCTAGAATGGAGGCTGGAGCTGTTCCCAGGGCCATGGCCCTCAACACAGCTCCCCAGACACCTCTGCCACCATCTGGTGTGGAGCTCCAAAGTAGTTTCTGCCAAAAAAGTTGCCTAGCACAGTTTTTTTTTTTTTTTTTCCTTTTTTTGAGATGGAGTTTCGCTGGTCACCCAGGCTAGAGTGCAGTGGCATGATCCCAGCTCACTGCAACCTCCCGCTTCCATGTTCAAGTGATTCTGCCTCAGCCTTCTGAGTAGCTGGGATTACAGGCATGCACCACCACACCTTTTTTGTATTTTTAGAGATGGGTTTCACCACCTTAGCCAGGCAGGTCTCAAACTTCTGACCTTAGGTGATAAGCCTCCCAAAGTGCTGGGATTACAGGCGTAAACCACCACACCCAGCCTAGCCCAGGGTTTTCAAACCCACTTATGAAATCAAATTGATGGGTCACAAGAAGCATTTTGTTGTTTTTCCAAGATGGAGTCTGGTCCACCTCAGGCTGGACTGCAGAGATCTTGACTCACTGCAACCTCCGCCTCCCGGCCTAGCCCAGGGTTTTCAAACCCACTCATGAAATCAAGTTGGTGGGTCACAAGAAGCATTTTGTTTTTGTTTTTCAGAGACGGAGTCTTGTCCACCCCAGGCTGGACTGCAGAGGTGTGATCTTGACTCACTGCAACCTCCTGTCTCAGCCTCTGGAGTAGCTGGGACTACAGATGCATGCCACCACACCCAGCTAACTTTTCTATTTTTAGTAAAGACAGGGTTTCACTGTGTTGGCCAGGCTAGTCTCGAACTCCTGACCTCATGATCTGCCTGCCTTGGCCTCCACAAGTGCTTACACTTGTGGATTACAGGTGTGAACCACCGTGCTCAGCTGCGTCTTGCTCTTTTAAATGAATTAGTGGAGAACAGAAACTCAGAATGTTGCATGTGAAGTGCAGAGCTAACAGTTGTGTCTGTGTATGTATGTGTTCTGGGTATTAGCACAACAGGCACTCTCACTGGGGTTGCATTTGGGAGTCCAAGTGCCACTGTGGGACCAACCCTGGTATAAGCTGCACACCCTGAGGCTCCCCGGCAGGTCATAAAGGGTGCTCAGTAAGCACTGCCTGGGCCAGCAGAGAGTATCAGGCACAAAGCATCACTCAGGGACCACCCTGAAGAGAGGGCCTGGTTCTTCCCCAGACTAGACCTGCCCAACCAGCAGGAGGCAGAAGCAGGAGACACTTACCAGCCTTTCTGCTGCGCCTCCTGGCTCTACAGGATGATCAGCAGGAGCACAGTCTGGGGGCCCTCTCCATCTTCTGGCCTGGACTTCCTTTCCCGCCTGGCCCCCATCCCCTCAGCTGTCCCTGGCTCTTCTCTCCCAGTCATCTGCTTTCCTTCCTGAACTTCACTTCCTCCGTCTAGCCCTCTCCTTAACTCTTCACTCTCCCTTTTCGTTTCTTTCCCCTCCTATCACCTCCTTTTCCAGGACACACACACATAAATATTTTTCAGACAATTCAGCCTTTACTTTATTTTAGAAAATAATTCTGTAGCTTCCACTTTCTTTCATGAAACTGAGGTCAAGCAAGAAACGAAAACACACCAAGTCCTCTCCACCCTGCCATGGTGTCCTGGTCTGTGAGGACATGAGGCGCCTGGGAACGGGTAGGGAGGCTGGGCAGCACTGGGCCGGAAACATCCTGGTCACTGCTTCACTTGGTCTGCCTCTCCACCTCATGCTGAGAGAGCCACAAGAGCCACAGCCTGCAGGGAGGGGCCTGTGTGCGAAACCCCAAGGGAAAAAAGGATACACAGATTGAATGTCTCTCCTACCAAGCCAGCAGGAGCCTCCTAGAGCAACAGGGAGTGGACTGATTTTCAGAAAGGAGGGGTCAGGGCACAGTCCCTCTCTGAAGCAATGAAAGAGAGGGGTTGTCCCAGCTCCAAGGCCTTCCTCCCTGCACCTCTCCCCTGACAGCTGGGCATGGGCTGAGGCGAGGTCTTGCTTGCCTCCTTCAACTTTCCATCTCAGAACCATAAACTGCTAGGCTGCAGAGAGAAAGGCTAAGTGGGGGTCAGAGACAGGAGAGAAGGGGAGGAGGCAATGAGCCCTGATGACCCACCAACTCCACCAGGCCCTGATAAGGAAGTCCCTTTGGTTAGTATCATTTTGGCCACAAATATGTCCCCTTCTCCCATAACCCAGCCCCCAATAGGGGAAGGGAAACAGGTATGGAAGGAGGACTCATGCCTTGGCTAGAAGAGCCAAGTCAGGGAGAAGGTGTCTGGTCAAGAGAGCAAACACTGTCAAACTCTGCACATGCTCCAGGAGAAAGCTCAGGACATGGACATTTCTGGCTCAAACAAGCCCAGCGTCCCCCTGCCACACAGTGGTTTCCTGCTTAATACCCCCTAACATACCCCAGAATAGTTCCCCTGATCTGACTCCCTTGAGAACGGGAGAATAATCCTCACCTTATCATTTGTGCACTCAAATGCCACTCAGAAAACTCAAAAACATAAATGCACCTAAGAGGGAAACACAGGCAGGCAGATGCAGCCTGGGGACTATGGTTCCACCTCGGCTCATGATGTGACAGGGAGGGGCCCAGGAAGGACAGGCAGGTGCTAATTCCAGCTAGGATCATAGCCCTCCCATGTCTGTGGGGGCGCCAGGTGGACACGGCGGCCCCGGAACTGGAAGGTGACGATACCCCGGTAGCCAGCCCTGGGAACCCCTGACTTGAGGTCATCCATGACACCCAGAGCCTTGGCAAAGGCCTTGAAGCTGTCCCTGCCCGTATACTGCACCCGCACCTCCCCAAGCTCCTTCCGATCGTTGGTCCTCACTTTTTCCACCTGCAGCTGGGGAGCCCCATAGACGCGGGCAAGGAAATCCCGGTCATAGGCCTCCCGCTGCAGGTACGACAGGTCCAGCTGGGTAAAGTGCACAAACTGCTGGTTCAGCTTGATGAACTTGAGGTGCTGGTCAAAGAACTGCCCGTGGCTCACACCCTTGCGGCCAAAGGTCATCGTTCTTGAGATTTCAGGGCGTATGCAGGCCCGCCCCTTCCGCTGCTCCGGCCTGCGCATCCAGTCATCCCAGAAGGCCTTGGGCCACTTGGGCTCCAGCTCAGCCCAGAGCTCGGCCAACAGCAACCAGCCCAGGCCAGGAAAAAAGTCAGTGCGGTAGAGCAGCTCAGGCTTGCTGGAGTCCACCATCTGCTCCTTGCCGTTGTCATTCCAGGCCGAAACGCACCAGAGTGAGGGGTCGGCCTTCAGCAGTGGATAGGTGGCCTGAAAGTATTCAAAGAAGTCCGGTGCCACCTCCAGGTCATCCTCCACCACCACAGCTGCGGGGAAGTGGAACTGGTGGAAGACCTGGCCCAGCGCCCAGCGGTAGTGCCGCGCGATCTTGTAGTAGCCCTGGAACTTGCGGTGGTCAGGTGGCACGGCGATGTTGCTCAGGTCAGGCTGCCGGATGTGTGTGACCGCACTGCCATAGGAGGCGATAGCCTGGGCTGTCTCCTCATGCCCACAGTCCTGGCTAACAATGATGGGGAAGAGCTCAGCTGAGGGCCGATAATGCAGCAGCTTGTCCAGGCAGCGCCGGACAGTGCTGCGGTCACAGGCAATGACTAGGATGGGAATCACCGCTGGCGCTGGGGTCACAGGCACACGCGGCTGGGCGGGAGGGGCCGCTGTGGGCACCCTCCACCGCTGACTCCACAGGGCATCCCCAATCTGCTGCAGCAGCCCACGCTGCCGCTCCAACTCCACCTCGGCGTCTTGGGCCAGGCGAATCACTTCACGGGTGAGGCCGGCAGGGTCGTCATCGAGAGCACTGACTGAAGGTGGCCTGCCAGGTGCTGGGCGTGTCCAGAAGAAAAGGAGCAGCAGGGCATTCCATGCCACAAAGAGGATAGCGCCCCACAGCACAAGCCCTGCAGACTGCTTCTTCAGCATCCTGGCCCCCACGGGGGAGGGCAGGCAAGGGGAGGTCTCAAGGCTGCCCTGGGCTTGCCCAGCTCCCTTGCCCGCAGTCCTAGGGATGCTTCCTCTGGACTATGGGATTAGGAAGCAGCCATGCACCTGAAGACAGGAAACAGAAAACAAACCATCACACAAAGGCATGCCGCTCTATACACCCACAGGTAGAGGAATGTGGGGGCAGGGAAAGGCCAAGAGTGAGGCTGGAGGAAGGCCAGGAGTTTGACTCCAGAGGTAGTCAACATATATGCTGACTCAGGAACATATGTATGATGGGGAGGTAGAAGGTGATACCGATGGAAGGAGAGAGAAAAAGAACTCCAACTCCCCTTTTTCTACCAGTCAGATTTCATTTCCCTCTAGGTGGGAAGGAGGACGGGAGGAGCAAGGAGTAACAGCATCTGCCTACAATTCCTCTCACCTAACTGCCCCAAGATTACTGATTTTTAAAATCAAATATCACACCTCAGTGCTACAATTAAGTCCCTTGCCTAACAGGGAAGCACTGGAGGCACCCCATGAATGTCAGGCACAAAACGAAGCTGCCCATGATCTCCAGGTTTATTTAACATTCTGCTGGAAGGAGCAGCCAATGCAAATGAACCAAGAAAAAAACAATTAACAGCAGACGTGGACAAGAAGCAAACTATTTCTATTATCTTTACTTGTGAGAATTTGCCTGGAAAACTCTAGAATCAATAAAAAGCTAAACCAAACTATCAATGAACTGAGTAAGGTAGTGGAATATAAAAATCAACATACACAAATGGATAACCTTCACATCCACAAATAGCTCATGAGAAAACATGGATGAGAAAACCCTTCTTACAAAAGTCACAGAAATGAGAAAATATTTAGAAATAAACTTAAATAAACATTCAAAACCTGTATGAACAAAGCTATCATTACCAAAAGACACAAAAGAACATTTGAACATCTCTTGTAACTTGGTCAAGACATCTCGGCATCATCAAAAATCCCAATAAAAATACTTTTATGAAGCTAGACAAACTGACAATAAAACTAGGAAAATATAAAAATACGCTGTGAGAAGGGACTTAGCCCAACCAGATATTAACGTACTGCATACTGGCGGGGTACAGTAGCTCACACCTGCAATCCCAGCACTTTGGGAGGTCAACGCAGGAGGATCACTTGAGCCCAGGAGTTCAAGACTAGCCTAGGCAGCATAGGGAGACCCTGTCTCTACAAGTAATAACTAACAACAACAAATTAGCTGGGCAGGTGGCATGCACCTGTGGTGCCGGCTGCTTGGGAGGCTGAGGCAGGATCACCCAAGTCTGGGAGGCTGAGGCTGCAGTGAGCTGTGACTGGACTGTGCCACTGCACTCCAGCCTGGGCAAGAGAATGAGGCTCTGTCTCAAAAAAAAAGTAAATAAATAATTATATATATATATATAATATATATATATACACACACACACACACACACACACACACACACGTACATATATACACACTGCATAATACAAAACCTCCGTAATTACAACTGTGTGGTACTAGTACATAAATAAACAGACCATCCAATGAAATAGAATTTAAACTCCAGAAACAGACTCATTACACAAAGAAATCTGATATGTAATAAAGGTGCTACTGAAAATTCCCAAGGCAAAGATGGTTTTACAAATAGTGTTATAATAATTATATAGCTATGCTATAGTTGAATATGGTTTGTCTTCTGAAAAGCATGTTGAAATTTGAACCCCAGTGTGGTGGTGTTGGACGTGGGGCCTATTGGTAGGTGTTTGGATGGGTTGTGGGGGGCAGATCCCTCAAAATGCCCTCTGGTGAGTGAGCTAGTTCCCCAGGGATAACAGGCTGTTATAACCAAGCCCAGTCTCTCCTGCATGTCCCTTTATGCATGCCACACTTCCGTTCTACTTTCAGCGATGTCCATACAAAAACCTATACAGGAATTAAGTTTACAGTAACTTTATTCATAATTACTCAAAACTGGAAATAACCCAAAGGCCCATCAATAGGGAAATGGAGATAAACAAATTGTGGTTTACTCATAGAATGGAATAATATTCAGCAATAAAACTGAATAAACCACTGACATACACAACACATGACTGAATTTCCGAATAATTACGCAATATGGGTCTTTTTGGGAAAAACCAAAAAGAGCACATACGCTATGATACCATTGATATAAAACTGCAGAAAATAGAAACTAATCTATATTACAGAAAGCAGATCAGTTTTTGCCTGGGGAAAGAGGCAGAGAAGGCAGTGGGGTAGTTACTGCAAAGGGGCATTAGGAAACTTCTGGAAGGGTGGATATGTTTATTATCTTGATTGTGGTGATACTTGTACAAGTATGTATATGTCAAAACTTATCAAATTGTACACTTTATGTGCAGTTTACTGAACATATTTATGTCAATTGTATGTCAAGGAAACCTCAAAAGACCTTTTAAAAAAAGACATTATTGGGTAAAATGGCAAAGTTAGAATATAGACAGTAGCTTAAAGTATCAGTGATAACTGACTGACTCCAAATCTTAGGTAATACACACTGCAGTATTTAGAGGTAGACAGCCAGGATAGATGCAACTTTTCAAATGGTTCAGAACAAAAATATACTGCATACATAGAGAGAGAGAGCAATGGAGCAATACATTAAGAACAGGTGCATCTGAGTGTGTACAAGCACCCTTATTTTATTTTTTATTCTTGCAACCTGTGTAAGTTTGAAGCTATTTCCACATGATTGCCAAGTTTCTGGACAATCAAATATGCAGACATTGCCCACAGTTCTGAATAGCTTCATCCATCGGTGTCTGGGCCACATCAGCAAGGCAAATTCAAATGATCTGTTTGCTCTGAATTTTTCAGTTAGTCACCTGATGACATGTATCACATACCTGCTCTCTGCCAGGCTCTGGAAAGGAACCATGACACAGACCAATGAGAAAAAGGCATGGCCCCACCACATTACTTAAAAGGATCTGAAACATTCCCCAGTTCCCAGTCAACTGCCATTCCAGATCATAACTCCTTGACTGTCCTGCTTCTGATCTACCCTTCAAATCCCAAAGCTTCAGGCATGTACCCTCTTACACCAACAGCTCTGCCAGTTGCCCTCTGCCTCACAGCCCAATCTCTAATCCTAGCCAAAACCTTGGACCTCAGATCTAATCTGAGGCCCTGGGCTCTCAAGCCAGCAGATCTGGCATAAAAGGGCTGATCCTGAAGGGTTTCTCAAGGGGCCTCGATTCTGTCTCCCTCCTGGGGAAACTCACCCAGCCCCTGCCAGCATCCACCACGACTTGTCTGCTTCCTAGAAACCAACCACCCCCACCATTCCAGGACATCAGTCTTCTCAGAAACCTCAAGTCCATTTCCACGTAACTGTGCAATTAAATTCGTATTTTATCAGGGCTCATATGCTATGTATCAATAGATTAATGTCATCAAGTAACTAAGGAGTTCAGGGTAAACATCATTTCAGTTAGCCTTACTGCTGTGCCCAGCTGGGGACATACTGATGGAGGAAGCTACTCAGAGTGGTGGGCCATATTCCCATATTTTATTTTTAAGAAATTTTATGTGGAAGAAAAGAGTGATGCACAGAAGAGTTTAAGTTTTCTTTCTTTTCTTTTCTTTTTTTTGTGACAGTCTTGCTCTGTCACCCAGGCTGGAGTACAGTGGCATGATCTCAGGTCACTGCAACCTCTGCCTCCCAGGTTCAAGCAGCTCTCCTGCCTCAGCCTTCTGAGTAGCTGGGATTACAGGCGCCTGCCACCACGCCCAGCTAATTTTTGTATTTTTAATAGAGACGGAGTTTCACCATGTTGGCCAGGCTGGTCTCGAACTCCTGACCTCAAGTGATCTACCTTCCTCAGCCTCCCAAAGTGTTGGGATTACAGGTGTGAGCCATTGCACCCAGCACTGTCAGTTTCTTTCTTCACTGTCCCCTCAGGATGTTGTCCATGTTGGAACTTACCCCCAATCTCATGGCCAGGATTCCCTGCCTCCCAAATTCCTGCCTCCTAAATGACTATGCAATAAAAAGACTTATATAATTGGATGAGGAAAGAGAAGAGGGACTGAACTCTATTCACTGAAGTGCTGCTCTGTATGGCTTAGGAGGCTGGGCAAGGTGGCTCAAGCTTGTAATCCCAGCACTTTGGGAGGCTGAAGTAGGCAGATCACATGAGGTCAGGAGCCGGCCAACATGGCAAAACCCCCTCTACCAAAAAATACAAAAATTAGCCAGGTGTGGTGGTGTGCGCCTGTAATCCCAGCTACTCAGGAGGTTGCGACAGGAGAATGCCTTGAACCTAGGAGGCGGGGGCTGCAGTGAGCTGAGATGGTGCCACTGTCCTCCAGCCTGGATTACAGAGCAAGACTCCATCTTAAAAAAAAAAAAGAAGGCAGGGACCCTTCATATGACTTCTGCACCCTTTAGATGACTTTTTACTCTTCTCTACACATTAGAATTTGGTGGCCCACACCCACTACCTGAGGCTTAAGACCTCCTGCGCCATCCTAATAAAAGCAATGTTCTGACTGAGTTTTTACTTAGTAAGTCTGCACACATCTAGAGTGGGTGGAGAGGCCACAGGAAAAGCTGCCCCAGTCCAGCCACCACCTCCACCTTAGTCCTCAGACCCTTGTTCTCCACCCCACAGCCCTGCGCTTCAAACTTGCTCCTCTTGCCGTAAGATTACATGACATCCCTATTCCCAGCTCACCTGCTTCTTCACATAGGCTCATCCTGGGCCCCAGTGCTATTTTCCTGTTTATTCATGTAATTCTTAGGACAGGATCCTCAGCTCTGCCTGGAAGTTAGTGCTGTGTGCACACACATGAACCACAAGCCATACACCCTCTCCCAGCTGGCTGTGCCCAAAGGATGATCAAGCCCAGACCCTGGCCAGCAGCAGTGACCTGCTCCTCCAGAAAGCACTGCTCAGGCCTGCTCAGGCCACCATCAGGAGAGTGCAGCAGCAACAAAGGCAAGCCAGATAGCTCAGAGGCATTACCCTACATTTTGTCACATTTCTGAGACTCAAACTGGGTTGCTGTGAAGACTGGATGAGATAAGCCATGTTAGGTGTTTAGAACAGTGCCCAGCATGACTACGTAAATATTAGCCAGTCACTTCACTCCTTTCTCCCCATTCTCTTTGTTCCACTCTACCACATTCCCGTCTGGTCCCAAAACAGCCAACCCTACCATCCGGGTCTTTGCATGTACCTATGTGCCAGGTCTGCTCTTCCCTATCTTCTCACCTGGCACACTCTGATTTTTGTCTCTGCCAAGATATCTTCCTTGACGTCTGGGACCATGCAAGGTCCACCTACCTTTCACCAACAGCAGCAAGTGCAACCACTTGCTCAACTTCTATCAGACCCCCTCAGCTATATGCTACATGAAGACAGGGATTGGCTCCACCAGCACTGCCAAGCTGCTGTGCTAGTGCCCTCAATATTCAGATGTGCCTGGGATCTGAAAACATCCACAGTTCCTCAACTGCAACTGCCAAATCCAAGTAGCACTAAAAAACAGAAGTTTTCTAAACTCAATTGGCAGTAAAACCTCACCCAACCTCATTTGGTAAAATCTGATCTGATCTAATGTGAGGCTATTTATAGTCTTTTATCTCTCATGCTGTGGCTATTCATACATTTTGCTACAGAAATAAACATGGTGGCTTATGCTGTTCTGCTTCTGATGTTCCATTACAGAGTAAATTTACCAGATCATCTTTTCAAAATCCAAAAAATTCTGAATTCTGAAACACATCTAGGCCCAAGAACTTCAAAACTATGAAAATGAGAGTACAAAGTTACTCATTCGCTGCATCCCATGTCAAGCCCCCCAGCCCTTTAACCTGAACTCATTCCTTCGTATGAAATACTGTTTTAAGTCTGACTCTTGATGTAGTTTCCCAGCAGGTCTGTCACTAATCTTGCTTCCCTTTCACAAACCTACCCAACAGCAATAGCACATCCCTCCTGACAAGCGCGCATGGTCACAACACTAACTTGCCTTAAAAACCATCAGAGGCTGCAATGCTCATTATTATGACATACAAAGCCCTTCATACAGACTGGCTCAAATATCGTTTTTCAACCTTACCTCCAACCACTAACCCCATGAACCCCGCACTCTGGCCTCAGTAGACTGCTTTTTCCCCAATAAGTACACTTGGGCACTGCTGTGTCTTTGCTCCAGCTGGTCCCTCATCCTGAAACAAGACCCCTGGCACCACCTGCCAGCCACTCTCACATCCTTTCAAGCCACTTCAGGTGACTCCTTTTGTAACATCACAGAGGCAGGCTACACTCCCACAGCACTCTCTCCACACTGTAACAGGATATATGGCCATATTTACCTGACTCCCACCTTCCTCCTTAGGAAAAAAGACTATGACCTCTGTGCCCATCACAGTGCTTGGCACATGTATGAGGTTCAAGTGGCTAGACGGAAGACTGCTTGCACTATTACCTAAATCAGGAAGAAAGATGGCCAAAGCAGCACTAAGAGTGTGAAAGGTTATATTTTCCAAAGACGATTGCACATATCCCATTCCATATGCTCTTCTTACAAGTGACAAGGACACTCCTGCCTCCAGGGGTGAGGGTCTATATTCCCTCCCTTTGGTTCTGGGAAGAAGTGACACTATGTGACTTTTGAGATTAACTCATAAAAGGCAGTAGTTTCCACCTGGTCCTCTTAAGATGCCTACTCCTAGAACCCTGCTACATGGACAGGACACCTATAAGTATTCCACCTGACAACACCAGCTAAGGTCCCAGCTGACAGCCAGCATCAACCACTAGACATAGGAGACGGCCTTCCAGATTATCCCAGCCCCATCCATACCTGACTGCAACCATGTGAAAGACCACAAGCAAGAACCACATAGCTGAGATGTTAATGAGTCTGTTGTTGTAAGCCACTAAGTTCTGGGGTGATTCATTATGCAGCCACCAGCACCTGCAACAATGAGAAAAACAGAATCTAGATAGTCTTGACAATCAGGGCAAGTGTCCTCCCTGCCTTCTGTGCTCAGCTCCAAGTCCAAATACTGAGGCCCTGTCTCCACTCACATCCCCTTTCTTATTAGGTGTCTATTCCTGCATAATAAATTACCTCAATATTTAGTGGCTTAAAACAATAGTTATCATTTACTCCCTGTCACGGTTTCTACTGGTCAGAAATTCGGACAGTGTAGCACAAGGGGATGACCTGTCTCTGCTCTACCATGCCTGAGGCCTTGCTGAAAGGCTCAAAGGCTGAGGGCTAGACTCCCCTAGAGGGTCTCACATTCTCTCACGTCTGTAGGATGATGTTGGCATTATTGGCAGGAGTGCTTGCTAGAACCCCTCTATGTGGCCTGGAAATGTCCTAGAAGTGGTGACTACATTCCAAAAGTGAGTGTCCCAAGAAAGCGACCAAGCCAGGTGAAGGTGTATCCTTTCCCTGATTCAGCCTTGGATAAGGTTTGTCTTAACTCACTGGTCAAGGAAACAACAAGTCCCTACTCACATTCAAGAGGAGGGAATCACAAACCCCACCACTGGGTGGGAAGTGGACAATGTCAAGCTGTAACTACATGTGGAAGGGGATACTTATGGGTGAGAACCTTTGGGAAAAATACAATCTGCTACACCTTCTTTTTTAAATAGAACTGTCCTTAATCCTGACCTGAGTTCCTAATAATGTCATTTATGAGACTGGCATGCAAGGCACAGGCTCAAAACTGGGTTTGATTTTTTGGAGTTTTCACAACTCCTTTAGAGAAGTGACACAGCCAATCCACACCACCAAGTACAAAGACATCTGGACCATGGTGGGAGATGAGGAGTCAGTCTTTTTGGTACAAAAACTTTCAGCCAAAACCCAGGTGGCTCTGGACAGGTCCTACCTACCCGTACTGGGCTCACTCAGTTTCTGAATCATTTGAAGGACTGCCTAGGACCCATGAGATCCTTTCTAATACTCTGATTCCATGGTATTCTCCAGCCTATTTCCTTTCTCTGGCAAAAATGTTTCTTAAACAGCAAGTGAACACCAAATAGTCAACTTCCAATCATGAGCAATAAGAAAAAAGTTATATTTAGCTTTAAAATTAAGTATAGAAGTGGAAGAAACGGTAACAGATTTTCCCTTCTATCTCTGCTTTGCTTAACGTTAAAAAGCACAACCTAAAAAATCCAGAAAATACAGGCATGTCACAGATAATGGAAATCTAACTGAACTACTTTCTTGTTCATTCTTAGCCCTCGGCTGGACTCCTGTATCATGTATCAGGCCCATAATTTCAGGACAGAAGAACAGAAAGGTAGTCAAAGAAGATACACTAAATAATTCAAGGGTTTAGAGAATAAGACCTAGGAGGGAAGGGATGCAGGTTATTTATCCCAGAAAAGAAAGGGCAAAAGGGAAATGCAAGTGCCACAAAAGTTATGAGGCCTGGGATTCAGGCAATCCAGCCAACCAGCCAGGCAACTTTGGATAAGTCACTTGACTCACCTGAGCCTTAGTTCCTTCATCTATAACGTGACAGGGTTGATTTGGTTCATCACAAGGTCCCAGTGCCTGGATGGGATAGTGACAATTTCTCTAATGCCTCAAACAGTAACGAGTTTACCTTGTTACACAGTCCACTGAGGTAAGACATACTGCAGTGCTTCTAACTGTGAGAATAAGACACAGAAGCAGAGGTATGCGTGAGCTCAATGGTCCCCACAATTGGGAAGGATCAGGACGCAGTGATTCCTGAAGGAAGGCAGCCCTAGATGATGTGAGCATGTAAGAGCAAAGTCTACATGGCCTGGAAAATATTATAAATGACTGAAAACAAAGCTGGATAACATCTCAGCCAGTGATGTTCTAAAACAAACTGTAGACCTACTACAGCAGCAAGGGTTAACCAGAGTGAAGCTTCAGCCCTGCGGGAGGAAGAGCCGGCCAGCCAGTCCCTCTACTCCAGAGTTTATCAGATGCGGGCACTGCAGGTCCCAGGGCTCTTTACTCCACACATTAGCAAACAGGTAGAAAGAAAAGTTTTCTTGCCAATTTATTATATATGTATTTCAACACTGAGTCAACATTTTCTTTCGGCTGAGGAGAATCGACCTCTATTAACTTGCGGAAAGGATGTTGGGGTAAGGTTAGGGGAAAAAGCCACTCCCCAATCCCACCCGCTCCCTGCCCCACACCCACGGAAACGCCCTGGGCCGAGTTTCACAACATCCTCCCCACTCCGTGGAGCCCGTCCTCCCTCTAACAGCTGGAGCCGCCCGGGATTCCGAAAGCAGAACGCGGAGTTCCAACCTCCCGGCTCGGCCCAGGTTGGGCCGCTCCCGAGCCAAGTCCCCTCTCGCTAGCACTCACGGGCACCGGGGCTTTCGGGCGACCAGACGTCCTTGAGGCTCCCTCTCAGCACCCGCGAGGCCTCCCCCGGTCGGACCTCCGCCTGCGGACCCCTACTCACGACGTCCGCCCAACGTCCCTGCCCCGAACTTGGCCCGCCCCGGGGCGCAGGGAGCGAGCCCGGTGGCCAGGCGCGTCCCAGGCGCTGCCGCGGCTGCCTCGCCTTCAGCTTCACCAGCCCTTCCAGCGGCGCGCCGGGGCCGGACGGCCGGGCGGGCAACGTGGCCCTTCCCCGGCAAGCTGGGCGGGGCGGACTAAGGGGCGGGACCGACCGTCCCTCTGCGCCCAGCTCTCCCGGACGGCATTCGCTGGCCGCCCCCCTCGTCCTGGGCCGCCTCTTCTCAATCAACGCCGTAGTTCCGAGGGCCCAAGTTTTCCTGAGCCACCAACTTCGGGAGGCGGCTTCCCTGCCCCCTGGCGCAACCCTGAGGGTGGACGTCCGACCCCGCCCTCGGCCCCCCAGCGCCGCTGCCCTAGCCGGGAGGTGCGCCTTAAGTGGGTCCGCAGCCCAGGAAAGGCGTTCACCAAACCCCAGGCCAAGGTCTGGAGCCGGTCCCCCAACCCCAACCTATGGGAGGTGGAGGAACCTGAGTGGGGGCCCCAGGGGCCCGTGGGGCAGGGACAGAACAGGAACCAGGGTGCCCGACGAGGGGCCGGGGGAAACACCTGTGCCAAAGCAGGCCAGGGCCAGCTGTGGCTTCTTCCCTTGTTTTTCCTTTGTGAGTGGGGAATGAAAGCGTTAGTTCTGAGTAAAGAAAGCAAAGAGAGACCTGCCAGCAGGGACAGGGTAGGCCCACTAGCCTTAGGCGGGAAGGACTCAGTCACAAGCTTTGGCGATAGCACCATGGAAAAGCCTAGAATCGGTCTGCGCCTGGTTGGTGTTTTAGAGGGGAGGAAGGTGCGCGACCTGAAGACGAGGTGTAGGTGGACCCAGACCCACCGAGGGGAGGGAGGAACAGCTCTTCAGTAGCAAATACCTGTGGCTGAGCCAGGAACAAAGTCTGGCCAGGAGAAGAAGAGACGCAGAAGACCAGGGGCTCCAGTGCATAGGGCCAGTTTCGGCAGCAATCAGGTCTGAGGCCTGGATTCCACCAGGAGCCAGCCCCACTCACTCCCCCAGATCCCTCCAGCCCGGCCCTCTGCAGAAAGCTCAGTTACCCACTCACCTCCCTCACCATGGGACCCCAGGTGGTGAGGGTGGGTAGCTGAGGACTGAGGGCTGCTGGGTAGCTGACTTCCCCTAGAACAGCGGCTGCCATGTGATCAGGACCCACGCCCCTGACATCAACCCCTCCCCCATGTTTCAGAGCACGGAGCAGCCCGGAACTCTGCGGCCTGTGGTTACCGACTGACTTTGCTCACTAACTTGTTTCTACATGAAGCCACGAATTGTGCAGGGTTCTACAGAAACAAACGGCCAGGCGCACCCCACAGGCCGTTGCATGGAGGCGAACACCTAAACCAAAACTGTTAAGGGGTCACCAAGTATGGTGAGAGGCCTCCACGGGCCAAACCCTCCCTCAGCTTCTCCTTCAAGCCCCAGAGCTCTGCAGAGTGGGCGGTAACATCCCCATTTTACAGTTAACTAGTTTGAGGCTCAGGGTTAAGTGTCAACGTGCTGGAAGCCACAAGGCCTGGTGGGGAGCATGGCCAGGTTTTAGACCAGGCCTCCCGTGCACCCCTCCCCATCCACCCCCCTCACACACACATCCTGCAGTGCCAGTGCCCTGAGAGGGCTCTGTGTCCTCTCAGGCACTGCCATGAAGCCTCCGCAAAAGTGGCCAGAGCCCCGACCTGGAGGAGGAGTGGGAGAAGAGCAGGCCCACTGAGGCCCGCTGTGTGCGGTGTGTGGTGTGCAGTGCGCGGGAAGCCTGTCGCCTCCACTTTAGCTGATTGCGTGAACTGCGGCAGGAGCCTCGAGCCCACGCGGATGTGCCAGTCAGAGGCCAGTGTCTGTCACCTCCACCCTATGTTTGCCTAATGAAGGAGTCTGGGGCCTGGGGGCTCTGCATACTCATACTAGGTGTTAAGGCATAAAAGAAAACAATGATATTTCCTAAAAGTGAAAAAGTTGGGAAACACTGGTTTGTAGATCCAAGACATGACGAGCTGAAATCACCTTCCAGGAGAAAAGACGGACATAAGAGGGTACTGAAAGGTGGGAGAAGATCAACCAGCCCACGAGATGTCAGATTCCCACCTCTAACCCCTGATAGTTCTCCAGAAGGGGAAACAGGATGGGGGGCCATTTGTGCACCATAACTCACACCCCATCTCTGCCACCCTCTGTTTAAATCCCAAAGCTCACAGGAAAATCCAAAAGGAGAAGTTCCTGGACTACAAGAGACTATTCCAAAAAGAAAGGCCCTGGTTAAAGAATCAGGATGGGCTTGATGGAGGCAAAAGAAAACACTTGGTCTGAGAAGCCAAAAACCAGGGTAACTGAGTGCCAAACTGACCTGGGGAAAAGAGGCCCTGAGCTCTTGATAGAGGTTGCATGGGGAGCAATGACTGGGGTAAGGAGCATAGAAACAAGGGGCCAGGATTCTGGGGGTGGGCCTGGGATTGGATTATGTGCAAAAGGGAAAAACAGGAGGATCCAGTCACAGGATAAAACAGAATTAGAAGGAACAATACTCTCTCCTGCCCACTCCACCACCACGAGAACTGAAAAGAAGAAAAGGAAATTGCCCTCCCATAAACCATGCCCAAGATCCATGACATTTTTTACAATTTGGAAAGAATTCATGCCCTGAAGTTAAAACGTATGTTGGCTTGAAAACACCAGTAAAAGCAAAATTTTTAACTAGTGTTTTGCTTCCCTTCTCCCTGCCTCCCAATATCTCTGCTTGCCCCTCTCCCTAACCCCACAGTAGAGACCCAGAAACTCATCTCATCCAGGCCAAAGAGGAAAGATTAACAATCACTAAACAATGTCTGTGAAATGTAATTTTTGGTTAGCCAGCTACAATTCATTTGGAATAAAGAAGGAAATAAATAAATAGAGTTAAAATACACATATTGGCCAGGCGCGGTGACTCATGCCTGTAATCCCAGCACTTTGGGAGGCTGAGCCAGGTGGATCACAAGGTCAGGAGTTCGAGACCAGTCTGACCAGTCTGGTGAAACCCTGTCTTTACTAAAAATAGAAAAATTAGCTGGGCATGGTGGCGTGTGCCTGTAATCCCAACTACTCAGGAGGCTGAGGCAGAAGAATCGCTTGAACCCAGGAGGGGGAGGTTGCAGTGAGCCAAAATCCCGCCACCGCACTCCAGCCTGGGCAACAAAGCAAGACTTCATGTCAAAAAAAAAAAAAATACTACACACCCACAGTCTGGTTAAGTCCATCATTGGTCCTGGCTCAGTAGCCTGATACCTGCTGAGTGCCGACATCCTGGTGCCCCTGTGAGAAAGCCAATGGTTGTCTTGAGAGGACTGTCTCATGAAGGGTCAGATGGAGGGTGGGAGGGCCAGGGAGAGGATTTCTTGCTCACTCTAAGGAGGAAATGTTCTACCATTAAGGCTGTCTGGCAGGGCACAGAGCTTCTCTCCCTGGAGGTTTGCAGCAGAACCCAGATGGCCCTTGTCAGGTCAGATACTGTGGAAATAGCACAGCACTGTGAGACGATTTCAGTGCTTACCACTCTAGACTTAGGCAAGCCCTTCCCACTCAGGGCTTCCGTAGCTTCCCCTCAAACTGGGAAAAGAATTCCTGCTCTGTTCTCCTCACAACAAAGTGGTGAGGGAAAACTGACACAGCCGACTGGATGGGTCATGTGATAGCACTACGCAAATACACAACTCTCTGGTACTTGGGATCCCAGAGATGGCTAAGGAGACACCCTGGTGTCACATATCCCTGAGAGATCACCGTGATTCCTGTGCCTAAGCAAAGACCAGCACCAGAAATTTGCTGGGTGAAGCTGGGGAAGGTGGCACACCCACCTTGAGACCCACACACCTTAAAAAGGAGCAGCCTGGGGAGTTGGGGAGAGATAGCAAGGGGAGAGATGCCAGATGTAGCTGATGGGGAGGAAGGCAGCAAATCACACTGCCACGTGTGTACCTATGCAACAATCTTGCATGTTCCTCACATGTACCCCAAAACCTAAAATGCAATAAAATAAATGGGAAAAAAAAAAAAAAAAAAAAAAAAAAGGAGCAGCCTGGCCTCAAAGGGGATGCCCCAGGCATCAGACCAGAGGAGAAAGAACAGCTCCACGGCAGCAACTACACCCAGGCCACTGCCCACCTCTCAGACCACTGCAGGGAGTCAGGAAAACAACTGTGGCAAAGAAGAAAGATGGGGGCGGGAGGTGTGGAAGAAAAAAAATAAGACATAAGTACAGGATTTTCAGTTTGCAGATGACCTCACTGTCACCCATCCTCAAGGAACGTGTTGAGACCCAGGTGTTACTGAGCTAGGGAGAGGCAGAGAGATACCAGAAGCCAGGCTTCCTGCCCTTTGCCCAGGCCACCATATCCTACTGTCTCTCAAAATTCCCAACGCTGTGCTCTACCTCTTCTTTCTGCTATGTGTTGTCACTGGGAAAAGCAGGCATCTTGTTACAGGTAAACTGGAATTGAAGGAGGGGCAGGCAGGAAGTAAGAAGATAAAGACAAACAGGGCTGCTTTAAGTGGGAATACAGCCGAAGAAAATACAGAGGGCGAAGAGATGTCAGTATGGGAAAAAAGTCATCTTTTTTTTTTTTGAGACGGAGTTTCGCTCTTGTTACCCAGGCTGGAGTGCAATGGCGCGATCTCAGCTCACCGCAACCTCCGTCTCCTGGGTTCAGGCAATTCTCCTGCCTCAGCCTCCTGAGTAGCTGGGATTACAGGCACGTGCCACCATGCCCAGCTAATTTTTTTTGTAGTTTTTAGTAGAGACGGGGTTTCACCATGTTGACCAGGATGGTCTCGATCTCTTGACCTCGTGATCCACCCGCCTCGGCCTCCCAAAGTGCTGGGATTACAGGCTTGAGCAAAAGTCATCTTAAAGAACAGGAGACATGACTAGGATATGGCACATGAAGGAAAAGCCCAGCACTCACTCCAAGAAATGCAGTACCGGCCAGGCGAGGTGGCTCATGCTGATAATCCTAGCATTTTCGGAGGCCAAGGCGGGCGGATCACAAGGAAACCCTGTCTCTACTAAAAATACAAAAATTAGCTGGGGGTGGTGGCGGGTGCCAGTAATCTCAGCTACTTGGGAAGCTGAG